AGCAAGTTTTGTACTGTTCTATGCCTGTGTGGCGGTAACCTTGTGTGTTTGATTTCCAAAAAAGAAAAAGAAAGAAATAAATAAGGAAAAACAAAAGGGAAAAAAAAAACCTCGGCAAGCATGTAGTTTTTCACGCCTGTAGGGCGACAAACTTGTTTTTGTTCGCTGCTTGTCGTTTGTAGTTTCGAAATTTGCATGCGGGGCTGTACGACTGCGCCACGCCTGTTCGGTGCATTTCAACGCACCGGGTAAGTCCGGAGAATAATGGTCTCTCGGTGGATTAACCGGCCGTTGTGCTCTTTGTTGTTATATATACAATCAGTATGCATCTTGTCCCTCTTTCTTGTACGAGTTTATCACGGCTCTGGTAGTTTGCTAAGACAATGCTAAGCCATTGTTTGTTATAAGAAGTTGTCAAAGTCCTTTTGTAAGGATTTATAGAAGTAAGAACATTTTTTGTGTTATTTTGGTTTCGAACCTTTTAAGTTTGTTCAGTGGACAAGTATGCTAAGCAGTGTTCAGTACTGGTAACGGGGTTTGCTGTCTACGCGCTGAAGTTGTTTCCTTGAGTACAGGGCGTGTGCAATAAGAATACTGCATTTGTGTGTGGGTTTCTCTGTTTACCCAAGGGTAAGGGTCTTTCGGTCTTAATTATTTCCCAGATCCAGGGTGAGTAACTCCCGTTGTTTACTCCAATTCTGAGTATGCTGCGGACGTTCTGTTATCAGTCGTTTGAAGTTGCTCCCTCCTGGTCGGGAACTCCGTCTATTTTATTTTTCTCGTCCTGGTTCTTTCTTTGCTGTTGGATCCTTTTTATTTCCGTTTCCTCCCTCTTGGGAAGAAAGAGAGAGGTCTGGAAAACTGTCGAAATTACACCTGTTCCTGAACAAGGCAACCACGAACTTCCTATCAATAACAGACCGATTTCCCTTCTACCTGCATTGTCAAAGGTTTGCGGGAGAGTGGCTTATAATCAGTTTGTCACCTATTTGACAACCAAGGAAAGGCCGGCTAGGCTTACCACAAAACAAAGCGGCAACAAAAATGGTTCTCTATTGAGACATCTTTAATTCACACAACTAATGCATTTCTCAAAGGAATTGATGATAAGAAACTGACTGACTGCGTGGTTTTAGATATGAGTAAAGCCTTCGACAGCGTTGACCACCAAATATTGTTACGTTAAAGACAAAGCGTTGGCGCCTCAACCAGCGAGCTAAAATGGTTTAAAAGCTACCTTACAAATAGATATCAAGTTGTACGAATTCATAGTTCCGTTTCTGATTCTCTTCCAGTTGAATGTGGTGTTCCTCAAGGCAGCATCCTAGGCCCCCTATTATTTAGCATATACGTAAATGATCTACCAGAAGTTCCAAGACATTGCTCTATAGAATGTTATGTAGACGATACAAAACTGTTTGTTTCTTTTAATTTATATGACTCCCAACGGATTGTCCAAGAAATGAAGATCTGCTGCCTGTGCGCAACTGGTGCTTCGGAAATCGGCTACTACTAAATCCAGACAAGACAAAATTAATTGTTTTCGGAAGCCGACAGATGACCTCTAAGCTTCATGAATTTCACTTGTCTTTGTTGGGAAAGGACATTTCCCCAGTGCAATCAGCGAGAGATCTTGGCGTGATTTTGGATCGTAACATTTGATAACCATATAACGACATCAGTGTTGGAATGTGTAGCACGTCTAGCGCAAATTAATCGGGTAAACATTGCTTAAACAAAAATACGTTGTTAACCGTAATACATGCCTTAGTCTTCAGCAAAATGTACTACTTTTCGCATGTTTGGGCAAATACCACAAATAAGAATGTTAGAAAATTATAGGCCGTTCAAAACTTTGCTTGACGAATCGTCAGCGTTGCGAAAAAATATGATCATGTAACACCCCTCTTAAAAAGCCTGTCTTGGTTGCCTGTTAAGGACCAACTGTACTATCGCCAAGCTATTATGGCCTTCAAATGCATGACCGGTGACGCCCCTGAATACGTAACATCCCAATTTTTTACCCGTGAGCAAGTTAGCGAACGAACAACTCGGAGTAGCAAAAAGCTAAACATCCCTCTTTTCAGAACTGCCTCCGGACAGAGAACCTTTTATTACAGGACTGTCAAGCTTTGGAACAATTTGGAATCTTCTATTAAGTTAAGCCCATCTGTTAAAATTTTTAAACGTTCCTTGAGGAGCCAGCTTTTAGATAATTTTGTAAATACTTCTTAGTTAAGTTTAAAACATTGTAATTAGTAATTAGCTAACATTGTAATTAGTATTAGATCAAGTGTTGTAATTAGTTATTATAAATAATGTCAGTAATATAACCATTGTTCCTGAAAAGCCCCTTTGGAGAGGTAACAATAAAGTATGTAAGTATCTGTAATTGGTGCTGCCTACTGCGTCGATGTGCGAATGAAACTGAATCGATAAAGTCAATTTACCACATTAAAGGATTCAAATAACCTGAAACTATTTTAAAAGCAAGGGCGTAAATGGAATGAGTTTTTTTTTATTAACATTACAGCGGAAAGTTGGTTTAAGTAGCCCTTTAGCTGCCATCTGCGCCTGCATCTGCATCAAAAACTGAGTCAGTCCTTTACATTTGCAAAGAACGTTTTTTTAAAAATGTCTATATTTATGATTTTTTAATGAAAAATGTCAGATGGGAAGCGCGTTGTTAATAACTTAGACACATTTCACCTTTTAAATCTTAAATTTCTACAACCAAAAAAGTTTTCAAATAACTAATGTTGCAACTGACCGAATTAGAAAGCTAATACCATAGAAAAAGGTAATTTTAAATCGACACTATTATAGCGACTTTCACAGTAAGCACGTGCCAGCTAAGTTTAAATTTATTAAGGTGGCTGTTGAAACTAGGTAGATTCAATTTGGTAAAAATGTTATATATCAGCCCAGACGAACGAATGGAAGTAACACGAGACGGAATCCCATTGTACGGAAAACACCGGTTCAGTACTTAGGCCCAGTTCATACGTCTGTAGAAGGCCTAAATGTAATAAAGTCCTAAATGTAATAATAACATTTTGTCCTTAATGTAATAACAATTTGCCCTAAATGTTACGCGAATAAGCACCACAGCGCTTATTTGAGTAATTACCGTAAATTGCAACTTAAGAGTTTATTACATTCATTTATTACGACTCTGGCACGGCAGCGATTCAAACGTCGCGCTTATGCCGTGTCGAACCTAAAGCATAAATTATGAAATGTATTTTCCCGGGTATCAGCATGTGTATTGAGTCTGTTTTATTACCCCAAAGCTCCTTTGCGCATGACGGCCAGGAATCAGAAGCGTAAGCACTGGGTTCGAGAATGGTCAGTATAACAAAGATGACTGCTTTCCGTGCAAGTTTGCATGCACCTTCCTCCTTGGTTTGGAATGGTGCAGAGTCCGATAATTCATCAGAAGACGAACTACCTTTTGACGAAAATGTTCCACTGGCTGGCTCTAAAGAACAAGATGAAGAGGAAGACGAGGAACCGATCGGCGGTTTTCTCGGTAGAAATAGGAATAGCAGTAATAAAGAAAGAACTTCCAATAATAACATTCGTCTGACGGTCAAAAGGAAAAGGATTTTCTGCAGCATTTCTTTTCTTTGCCTCCTCTAGTTTTGTATGAGTTTTATTAGTAGCAATTTACGCTGGAGTTTACGGTGCGGCGCCATTTTCGTCACCGCTTACCGCTGTACAGACTATTGTGCGAACACTGAATTAAGTTCGACTCTGGCACGACGTCTGAATTGAAGTCGTGCTTCTGTTGAACCCAATATTGATTAGGTTCGGCACGGCAGAAGCATGACGTATGACCTGGGCCTTAGATAAGTGAATGAGTTAGAATGACGCTGGTTTTTAGATAAAAGTTAGATCTTCCTGTTTTCCTAATGACGCACGAATACTGAGTGACTAATTAAAGGTTCAAAATGAACTCTATTAGGGCAAGAATAATTCCATTAATAATAATCTTCATTTTTTATTCAAAATATTTCTCCGTTTCTGATTGGCTCAAATCCCTCGACAAAAATCTTCTATACCAGCTAGACTAGACGAAATCCCATCAAACAAGAGTGGTTAAGTAGATAAGCAAACGAGGTAGAATGGCGCTGCTTTTTGAAGAGAGCTAGACAACTTTCCTAAACAGGTGGTTAGATCTTTCTGATTTCTTAATTACCCACGAAAACTTAGTGACTTGACCCCCAACAGTGGCTGCATGGTAATCGAGCTTACTTAATAGAGCTTTTAAAACTCATTAACGGCAAGAATACAAGTAGCACTAATTAAGATTTTTTGTGATAAGTATGCGGAATTTATAGTCTTCCGTGCAGCGGTTTTTGGCAGAGCTAGTGGGTGAGATCGATCAGAACCGAATCTTAATGTGTTTACCTTTCTTTGGGTGTTTTACATTACACAGTTAACGCTTATCTTCAGTTTGTTATTTCAAGACATTTAAGGTTCTTAAATTACTTGCATGCTAAAAGTTATAAACCCTCTCAGTGTTCAAGCATAGCATAAGCAGCTTTTGTGCAAAGGAGCTAAAAGCCTTAGGGAGAAGAGTAGCAGACACGGAGACGGTAAATATGGAAACATGGAACACTACCGTGCCTGAGACTGGAAATGTGAGATTCTGCACTAACCTATATAAATATAAACACAAATGCAGCAAATCACTGAGAATATTGGATTATGGCCTGTGCGGTAACGCCATAACGCCACTTTATTAAAGAAAATGCAAACAACTAGTACAAAATAGAAATGAAAACGTCAAATAGAGTAAGCCGTGCCGGGGGGGCCAGAAAAAACCTAACCTAAAAAACCCCGTGGGGAAAAAAGGGATAGGAAATCTGGGGCGGGCCAGGCACGACTTAAGTCCCCCGCCAAGACTACTAATAAACTAAATAATTGTAATAAACAAACGAAAACTAAATAGCAATAGTTTGAGCAACTTTTAAGCGATCACTAACGGTGTGCTTAATGTATCTGTTCTTTGAAGTGGCACATTTCCAGCCAGCAGCATGCATATCTAGCAGATCAGCGGAAACACTCCGACAAGCAGGATTTGAGGCGGCACCAGACTTTATACTGTGCGTGCCGTAAAGAGCAATGTCACCTACAAATGGTTTAACAAATTTCTTAAATTCATCTCTTAGCGTTGAATATGAAACTCCTCTAGAAGCATGAAAACACTCCCTAGACTTAGTTTTAACGATTCGCCTAACGAGGGGCGAAGATGACTCACAAGTTGAAGGGAAAAGCTTAAGTAACCTTTCGGTGATAGAAACTGGGCAAGTAGCCTTATGAGACCTAGCTAGAAAGGACGTATGCCCTTCTCTATACTGATCATTTTTGCGTTTAGGAATAAAAACTGACATGTACTCGTTGAAAATAGAGACATCTCTAACTGTCAAATTGCGAATTTCGTCCATACGAAAAAACCCAGCAAAGCCAACCAAGAGGACGAAAAGAAAACGAATAACGGCAAGCGAACTACTAGAAATATAATATTCAGCGATCCTTAAAACTGTGTCAACGGATAAAGGCTCTAGGGCATTCTACAATACCGGCCAGACTATGACCCCACTTAATACCATAAACAACTGACTCTATAGGAGATATCCCCGTATTATTAGAAATAGAAACAGCAGTAAGTTCGCTGATAAAGAGAGCAATGTGCAGTGGCTTCGCTGGAATAACTGAAACGCCAATCTTAGAATCTGCCCATTCACGCCATCTGATCCAGCCAGATCTATACTTCTGCACGGTAGAGGGAGCCTTGGACTCAAACTGTAAATGGAGAAGGTCTGGAACAAGCTTGCGCAAGGATGGATCGGCCAGAGAATTCGCTTCACTCCAAATCCCGGATTGGAGAACATCTAAAAAATAAAATAAAACTAGGCAGGAAAAGGCAAAACATTTAAAATTATAATACAGTAGAAAATATGATGCTGCATCATAATCATGCAGCACGGACAGTACTACAGCGTAAAAACGACATGTAATGAGAAACAACGACAAACGGAAGCCGAACTGGCTGGGCCCAGTAATGCTTTAAAAAACTGTAAAAAATACAACAAAATAGCAAACATTCGATAAAACAAATGTAGACCAATAAAATAAAACATAAAATAAGGCCCACTGACGGCGCCAAAACAGGCAAACTGCGTGGTGAAGCGGACATCGAACTCCGAGCCAAGAAGACGCTGCCAAATCAGGCAAAAAATACACCGCCAAATCAGGCAAAAATACGCTGCCAAAACAGGCAAAACAAAGCTGCCAAATCAGGCAAAAATACACTGCCAAAGCAGACATGATAACGGTGCCGAATCAGGCAAATAAATAATACCAAAACGAAGCTAACAAAAGATAAACCTAAAACACCGACAATAATGAGCTGTAAGGGGAGACAAAAATGGGAAAGCTCACCTAAAATCTATCCGCAAAGCTAACATTTTAAATTTCGGGCAGCCGCTGAACACCGACGGACGCGCTTTGTAAATCTGCTTCTGTCCTGGACCCTCCAGCAAGAGGTCTTCAATACAAGGAAGCTCAAACACTTCTTTAACAAAAGACTTGAACTGGGAGGCGTTGTCGTGCAAAAAAGGCCAAAAATAGGCCGAAGGCCATTGTGGAACGATCAAAGTGCCGTAACCGGAGCAGGACGAGAGAGCCCTAACTGAAGGCACAATGGCACCCACCGGAGGGCAAACCCAGTTATTCTCATGTCGCCAATCCTGAGCCAAGGCGTCCACACCGCTGCAACCTGGGGAAGCAAATTTAGAGTTGAACCTCGGAAGCTGGGCATTGTAATAGGACGAAAAGCGATCAATTGTGTGAGGGCCCCATTTAGCGTCGACAAGTCGAAATACCGAGGGATTGATGGACCAGTCGTCTTTATCAATAAATCTGCTAAGAAGATCTGCTCTTTCATTAAGAGACCTAGGGATCCACTGGGCTTCGAGAACGATGCTGTTGGCAAGACAAAGATTGAAAATATCCATAGCCAGGGCCTGGAGGTGAGATTTGGAGCTTCCGATAGCAACTATTCTGGCGGCGGCCTGATTATCAGTGAAGATTTTAACTCTCTTGTGTTTCAGTTGAGCCACGTAAGAAAGCAACACGTAAAAAATTGCTTTCAGCTCGCGAAACGTAGAGCTTTGGCCGATATCCTCGCTCTCCCACATGCCGCTAACGACGGAGCCGTCTAAAGTAGCCGAAAATCCTCCGAACGCTACGTCGCTAGCATCGGAAAATACAACGGTATGCGTAGCTAACGGTGGCCTAATAGAATAGCCGTTTAAGCAGTCGATGTTGCAATACCAAAATTTCAGTTCTTGTAAAAGGCTCGGAGGAAAATGAATTATGTCATCCCAAGCCGATCTGGTTTCAATGGCGAAGTACATTTGTCTGGTCAAAAGACGAGAAATTGGACCAACAGCTAACGCAGCTGAAATGATAGTGCCTGCTATTCTCGCTAACTCGCGAAATGAAGAGAATCCATCCTGAATCGCAGAATCTAGCAAGCCTTTAAGCTTGAGAACTTTCTTCTCGGGAATCCGGAAACACATTAAAATAGTATCAATAACGAAGCCTAGCCATTCGCCAATTTGAACTGGATCCCAGTGAGACTTTTCCTCGTTACAAAGAAGACCAGATGAAGAGAGCTCTTTACGTTGAATTAAGCTAGCTGCCACGGCAGAACATTTGTCTGGTCGACTCCCGAAACCATCGTCCAAATAAATGAAACTGTTGTGTCCCATAGAACGCCAACGCCTAACTAACGGGCGCATTAACTTGGTAAAACAAAAGCAAGCGCTACTTAACCCGAAAGGCAGTACTGTAAAGGAAAAATATCTGACGACGCCAGAAAAAGGCCACGCGAAACCAAGGTACTTTTGGTGGTCGAGACAAATATCGACATGGTGGTAACCGGACTTAAGGTCCCAAGAGAAAAACCAGTGTCCTTCATCGAGAACTTGAGAAAGCGATCGTAAGTCCTCGTACTTGAATATAGGTTTTACTAAATAATTGTTTACGTGTCTCAGATCGATAACCAGGCGAAGCTTCTTCCCAACAGCGACTGTCAAAGGATTAACACAATACGGGGGGAATTCGTGCTCAACAATGCAGCCGTTACTTAAAAGCTCGCTAATAGCATCAGCGACAAATTCCGGATGCTGAAGAGCTGATCTATTGTTCTTCAAAAAGCACTGCGAGGGGTACTCGGCAAACGGCAATCTGTAACCGCGCCTAATCATATCAAGGACAAAATCTGGTGCATCTAAAGTCTCGACCCAAAAGTTAAACGAAGATTGCAAGCGACCTTTCACGCCACTGCTTCCGCCTTTCGCACTAAACTCGTCGCCACAACAAGACAATAAATGAATTAAATCACACTCAACTTCATCACAGGTCGACGAGTCGCCATCTAGTCAATCGCGTCGAGAGCTACTCTTCGAAGAATCCGCAGGCTTCAAGCACGTGGAACTCAAATGACCAAAATCCCCGCACTGAAAAAAGGGGAACACATACAGAAAAACATGAAAATAAAATCCATAACATAAAAATAAAAGAACAGTGTTGTAGCGTGTGGCGTTGCAGACCCGAAGGAAGAACACACTGACTGACAACAACTTATATATGAAACGCAATTAACACGTATTACGTAACTACTGAACACTTCATTGAAAAACACAATGAAAATACCAAATTCAGAACGTGCAGAAAACAAATATCTGCTAAACTTCGTACCGCAGATATTTTGATACTGTCAAAACTTGGGCTAACCATTGGTTATAGTCTGATCCTTATTGTTTCACTGGTTGGGAATTCTGCCATTGGAGTGATTTTTTATAAAACGCCAAGCCTGCAGCGGCAACCCATAAATCATTTGATCGTAAGCATGGCCATGTCCGACCTGATGCCGTTAATCACGTTGCCTTGGTTCCTAGTAACATTCTATACGTCTCCTGTTGATCATTGGCTTATTGGCGGCCCTCTTGGCCAAGCCTTGTGCAAGCTTATAGTTTACGTACCAGAGGTCTCCTTCAGTGTGTCGTGTCAGAGCTTAGTTCTGATAGCAGTGGATCGCTTTGTAGCCGTGGTGTTCCCACTTCGTTCCACAGTTATTAGTCGCAAATTGTTTCCCTTCGTCATTACCGCCACATGGATCATTGCTTTGGCTTTTTATTCGCCGTGGTTGAACAGCGCGAAAGTAGACGAAGTAAAAAGGCACAGTGTCTGTTTCGCGATAAAAATGTCTGACCAAATTAAGTCCTGGCAAATTGCCGTAGCCATCACAAATTACATCATTATCATCATCACTATCGTCTTGCTGGTCATTCTGTACTCCATCATCGTCATCAAGCTCAAACAACAGGCACGTCCAGGTGAACAGTCGAATAATACTGAGAAAAAGCGCGCAAAAAGAAACACGAAAGTGTTAAGAATGGAATGTGCTATCGTGTTGGCATTTTCCCTCTGTTGTGTACCCATGCTCACTATTGGTTTTATGTCCCTCTTTCCCAAGATCATGTTTAGTTGCGGTTTTCCTATATTTGTTGATATTGCCATATTCATGTATCACGTAAACTGTGCTGTCAACCCGATTATTTGCCTTATTTTTAGCACTAATTATCGCCAAGGTCTTAAGAGACTTTTGAAATGCTAAGGACAATTAACGTGAATGGGCATTATATAAAAAATGCATCTCTAGGGCTTCAGAAAAGTCGACTACCATTCAAAACGTTGTCCCAGTCCACGGTAACATTACACTGAAATTTGACTCAAGTATTAAAGAAAGAAAGAAAGAAATATTTGGAGGTAGCACATCCACAGTGTAGTTTTTCGTCTACCTGATTCCTAGTCGAATTGGAATTTCTTGGGACACTTTAACGTTGTATTTAGCCCGCGTCAGATAACTAATAGGTATATGTTAAGTTTTAAACACATAAGCGCAGCATATAACCAAACTAGTATATAGAAAGTTGAATAAATTGATATTTCAGTTTGCTTTAATTGTATTCATTTATGCTTAAGAAATAAAAAAGTATACTTTGCACCTTTAAATGAACATTATTAAAGTTCATTTTGGATTGCAATTTATACAATGTTAAAAGATCTAAGAGACTAAACATGAAATCAATAAACTGAAATGAAGAACCTTTCAGTAGTTGTCAATTGTAATTATCAGTCACCACAGTATGGGCTCTAATATCTGGAAACGTATCTTGCCATGTTCAAAAAGTTTGCGTGTTCGTCTAATTTATATCGGCCTTTAACCAACAACAATAGAAAAGCGTGAAAAACACGCTCCTCGTGAGGTGTAGAATCGAGACGCCTATTGGAGAAAAAAGCTCCCGTGAACGATTTTGGAAGAAGAGGTCCCGGTGCCAAGAAATACGGCTGCAAGTAAAATAGGTAATGGCGT